AGAAATTTGCATCCCCCTTTCCAGAGAAGGGAAAGTCAGTAGTTAGCAAAAGAATCTAAGAGGAATACATAGCAACATGAAGCTTCTGAAAATGCAAAACATGTTTGGATGCTGTAAATCCCCCATTAGACATCCATAGCTACTTCTGCTCAAGGCTGTAAAAGTTGTTTATACATGAAGATCAGTTCAGAAGGCATYTTGCAGGCAGACAGGTAGCTGGGAGCCAAAAATCTAACAATTCTGCCTCAGCTGCCCATGGAATACACACGTGTGTGTATAAGAGACAAAGGGACAATACTGCTTGTCTCACAACCAAAATATTAGATTTCTCTTTCCCCATGCATTTTTAATTTGCTTCCAGAGTTTCATGAAACAGAGCTCCCTAGGCTGGGCTGGGGGGCACAGGGAAGTTGTCTGTGCTTGGGAACTGCCAGAACCAACAGCCAGGGGCTGACCCMGCTGGGTAAGGATGGGACAGCAGCACAGCCTTGTTCCCACTCTTGTCTGCATCACATGGAGCTCTCCTGGCCCTTCCCACAGGCGGTGAACCCCTCACCTGATCACAGAAATCTGGACTCTGGTTCCAGAAAATGCACACCTGAAGCGTCTTTGTGAGCTTCAAGCTAAATCCCTGACACTCTGGCGTTTTGCTCCCATTTCAAAGCAGCTCCTTTGTTTCAGCATTAGTGACCTTTTAGCAGAACCACTATATAACGCTCTGAGTCTCTGATGTCMAAAGTGGCCCATCTCTCAATTTATGGAAGGTATGGCTGGGCAGCAGGGTTGGAACAGAAGCAGGATATCTGAACAGCCCTGTTGAAGTGACCAACTCAGCTCTGAGGGGCAGCAGAACCTGCTCATTACAGACATTTTCTACTGAAAAGGCTGTTGCACCATTTTATTGCCAAATCAAAGGCTGATTTATCCCTGTTGTAACCTCACTGGGTTCAGTCAAGCCATACAAGTTGTGAATTTAGCTCTTCACTGTCTCATAGAGAATYCTACAATTGGCCTACAATTCTCCCTGCTGACTTCCACCCATGAGTCCCTCCAAATTCCCAGCAAAAGCAGACCATAGTCCCCACACTAATAATGGGATCAATATTTCTTCTGGGAAAATAAATTTCACRTCCTGTTTTCAGGGCACATTTCTGATGCAACTCATCTGACCAGCACTTCTCTTTTCCAGGCTTGCTCTGGGACCGTACTGGACTTTGCAGGAACACCTTTTTCTCTTCCTTCAGGGAAAAAGTTTGGTTCTGGCTAGGTTCTTACATTTTCATTAGTTCCCAGATGTGGGCTGGGTTTCACACCACAGCAATAGTTTGTCTGACAGAYCCTGTTTACTATTCACTCCACTTTTGTTGGAGTTTTCTAGCACATATCCTGCAATGTCCCCTCGCTACTCCAAGTGCCAGTACCCTGCTCATACAGTGCCTGTTTCAAGGCTCCCACATTTAAAAGTCCCTTTTTAAAATCCCTGTTGCTCAGCAAACAATTCATGAACACCTTAATTATTCCAGCCATCTTCTGCAGTGAGAATAAACGCACTGTAAATATTTCTCTTACATTGGTTGATGTGCAAGTTTACATTTTCAGAAGAGTGTGCTTGGCAAAATCTGTTGAAACATCTTTGTACTTCTTGCTTATCTTTCCCCTCTCCTGAGCCAACTTTTAGTCTTGGAAAGGCTTAGATGTAACTCAAAATGCAGGGCACAATGGTAAAGGGTTACTGCAAGGCACTCTGCAAACACTGGGCAAGAGACTTCATTTAAAAATAAATCCTCCCTAGTTTAGCATCTTCTCCCGCTGCAAAGTGCCTGCCTGGAAGCTCCTGCAGCTCCCTGGGGCCAGCCTTTCTGAGCAGGCATCCCCACAGGACCCATCCCAGGGCATCTTTTGACATCCCAGGCCAAGAAGCACAAGCAGCATGTGAATCCTGGCCACACACTGCTCTCACTCAGCAGGAGTGACCTCAAAAGAACCATKGCTTTGCTGCAAGTGCTTTGTAGCCCCAACAAGCAAGTGCTTGGCTTGCTGTGAGCCATTTCCCATACACCCTTTTGCTGCCTCGTCCCTCACACTGTTTTCACATCAGAAATGCTCCCCCAGCCCAGACACTTTTGGAGTTTCTTTTACACGACCTCTGCAAGCCAAGAAAACTGCTCAGCCCTATTCAGTAGATTCCTGACAGCCCTCAAAGGATTGCTAATTCCAGCCTGATTAAAAAAGGCAAAGCATTCTCTCCCTGGCAGGGAATGCCTTCTTTTCTGCCTTCCYTGCTTTAAGTCAGCACCTGTTGGGCCACAAAGCAGCACCTCAGGAACTCAGAACACCTGAAATGCTCTGAATCCTCTGCAGAGCCCAGGGCAGGCAGATCACACCCCTCCTCCTCGGAAGGGCTGTCAGGCTGCAAACACTAAAGCAGTTTTCTGGAGGAGAGCAGTGCACCCCTGGCTGGCTCGGGCTGAGGGCTGACAAGGGTTAACAGTGTTTGCTCCTCTCTCCATCTCACCCCCTCCTCCTCAGCGAGGTTTCAGAGCAAGACCCGCTCCTGGCCAGCCAGCGCTGGGATTAGGCTGGAGGAGCAGCCTGGCTGACACTCGGAGCAGGGTCCCGGGCTCTGCAGGCAGCAATCCCCGACTGCTGCAGCACCAACAACCAGCACCTGCGACATTTCACTACTGGGCAAGCCTAAAACAACCTTTGAAGATACCCAATTCAAGAAAACACCAAAATCCCAGTCACTTTCTGACTTTTTTTTTTTCTTTTCTTACTTTTCTTGAAGGACCGCAAGCATTTTTGTTACTATGTCTGTTCAGGGGCCATATGGAAAAATCAGTTCTGTCCTGTTAAACTGGTTGCACAGTTTTGATTTTCATCTGCCTACAGAGATCTGAAAAGCCTATGTTCTTTCATTTTATGCTTTTTTGGCAAAGAAAGCAAGTGGTCTGAGGATCATCTGGTCAGGAACACAATAGGTAAGCACAGTGTTTTTTGTGTAACATGTTTCCAGGAGTCTGAGAATATTTTGTTTGTGCAATTGAGTGAAAACAGCCTTTAGGATGATGTTCTCTTTGGGATAAGCTGATTATAGGTTATTTGTTGATCGCTTGRTTTGTTTTTCTGGACAAGAAAAGCTGAACTGATGTGGTATCAGTGTGGTTTGCAAGATTCTGTGCTTTAAAGAGYAGRAAGACTTTTTAAAAATCATCTCCAAAGCACAGAACAACTTTGATTCYACTGTCAAAGGTAAAGCAAAATATTTGGGGTCACATTTTAAATCTGTAAGCTATAATTAGCCTACAAGAATAACAAAGTGGCAAAGTGATTCAGTCATAAAGAAAGGTCTGTTTTAAGAGCATTAAAATTGAATTGCTATAGAAATCTTAACTATTCTTTCAACTTCTTCAGATTGTTGTTTAAGCCTGAATCCAACCAGGTTCTAAAATATTACACACAGGCAGAGAATATGCCAACTTTATTTGGATGGAGAGGAACATTCAGCTGACCTGGTAGTAATAATTTCCATTATCATCTCACTGATACTAAAGATGGGCTTGACTTTGGGAATCCCAGATTTTGTAGATAAAAACMTACAGATTCTATACTTAAATGTGCACCTTTGAAATAGATTTAAAAAAGAAGGGGTCCTTTTATAAAGTAACTTTAATTGGAATGGGCAGAAGGTCTGTTGAACTGGAGGTCTGACTGCCTAAGATCTTCCACACTTTTGCCAGCACTATGGGGAAAGMGCTGATCTCAGAATGAAATAAAAACTACCAAGAATTGAGCCTTTGTATTTTATATTTTCTACTATCACCAGCCAATTATCAGATTTAACCAGGACCTTTACTCTTTGCTGCTTGTAAGATGCAATAARCTACCTTTTCCTCAAAAAAGGGATCTTGCTCACAGAGCTCCCTCTGCTTTCCAAATCCCTGAGCTACAGCTGGCACCTRTATTAAAGGTCTATGCCCTTTCCACTTTTCCTCTTTCCTCTTTGTGAGAGTGGATATAGCAGACAAAAGAGTTATAAGGTATTATCAATAACTGCACGTAGTGTGTGTTCAAATTTCTTGCCCTAACTGGAGTCTCCTCCTCTGTGCAGCTCTGGGCAGTGTACACAACACTTTAAGCAATGTCAATGAATTTTCTTTCAAAGCTGATAATTAGATCTGTTGAAAAAAGGGACCTACCTAATTTTAAAAAAAATCTTTTACTAGAGTGAATACAATACAGTTGTTACAGTCCCAGCGAGCAGAAAATGCTGAGACAGGCTGGACATGATGCAGATATGAGAATGATAGGCAATACAAAAATCKAAGAGCAAGATTACTGCCCTACAGTGATAAACCTTTCTTCCAAACAAGACCCACAGAGCTTAAATCTAAGTACCAGTTTGGGGATTCTTATGCAGGATTCTCCACCTTTCACCAAACAGTATCATAGACATGGATGAGTTATGCTGAACCTTTTCTCTACAGTCACAATGAACAAAACAAAAATTCTGTGATCTGACAGAACAGCAGAAGCTCTGCTTGGGATATAGAGACCTCCAGTGAGTTTTAAAGGGACAGTTCTATTACAAACAGCTCAATACTGAAATTTAGTGAGTGAATACCACAAATCACAAAAAAAATCTTTTAAAAGTAATACTCAACAAATTCTGTCAGCAGTAAAAAGATTTTTTTTTAATAACTAGGATGCTGCATTTGTGCTGAATTGATGTTTTTGCTATAATCAAAGACTTCATGGCAGTCTGGCTTACTTTAGCCATTTCTCCAATCAAATGTTTTCAGAAAGATCCTCTGAGAAATACTTCAAGTTTTTGAATTTTAAACAATTTAGCAAAATTGACACTGGCACAATTTGAATGTGTGGCTTGCTGGGATTATAACAAACATCAGAAAAGGCACAGATAGAGAGGGTCACGTTACTTTCTCTCCTGTGAGAGCAGTTTCTGTTCACTTTTGTCATCTCACTTTGCAGTGCTGAAGATGTCYTGGTTGCGCTTTTATCTGCCTCTCCACATTTTCATGGCAATTTGTTTGTGYCATGCTATAAAAGCACCCACCAGCAGCTCCCAACAGAGCTTCAAGACTGATCTCTTCAATTTCTACCACTCCCTGATACTTGCAGACGGTAAGGAAACCACCATTCACCTGCTGAAGGACATACCYAAAAGGTAAGAGCAAATCAGCCATTCCCACACTCAGATACTTCCCYGTGTCCCTGGTGATTGCACACTACTGGTACAAGCCAAGAATCCCTGCAGGGCTCCATCAATGCACACTAAATTTCCACAAAAACACCCCCCTCCTCAAGTGTCATTCCCCTGCCCAAAGATTCATGTTTTTATTGGTTTTACCAAGAAAATTCAAAACCGGCAGAGTATCTGCACAGACATCTTTTCAGAAAAACTCCTGCCAGTGTTCTGCACAATGAAAGTTTTTGTTGAGTGGCACTACAACTTGTGAAGATCAAAAGTGCTCTGCATGTGGACGTCCCACATATTCTTCCCCTTCCCAAAATATCTGCAAAGTGTTGTGCCACACCTTGCTACGTGGGTGATGTCCATAWTACCACTGGCACTGCATCTGGGTAGCAAAGATCAATCTGCTTGTTTGGGCAGGGATGCACTTTGGACAGAGCCCAGCAAATACAGATTTTGACACACAGCCGAATGGCCATGGAGCAGAGGGTGAGCCAGATTGCTCTGTCTTCACATGCATTGCACAGAAAAACTGGAACATGCCAYGTGTTCTAGAATGTGACCATGCTCAGAAGGACAGAGCTAGGAGCTCTCCTAGTTAAAGGAAAAGGGCTACTGAAATATCAAAGAAAARGGAATTTTTCTATGCTCTTGTGGCATAATGTTAGGACTGCARTTAGGGAGCAGTTTAGCATGATCAGGAATGAACCCCAGTCAAGCAGGAGGACAAGAAATGACACGTTTTGGCTGAGAGTAAAAGACTCAAGAATGTGGAACTGATTCCAGGGAAGCTTTGCTCAGGCCTAGTAGCCATATCCTGAAAGTAAKCCAGACCTCCAAGCTGACAGGATCCATCCATAATGACTAGGCTTGTCTCACCAGTGAACAACAAAAWTCCCTAGAACTGCCAATTGCCCTTCATGTAAGTGCAGAGTGAGGCACTCAAATCCAAACATTTCTGTGGCCAAGTCCAAACATAACACAGTCTTTATAAAAACAACAAATAAAACAGCAAGGCAGGAGGTTGGGCTTTTTTAAGGCTGAAATCAAAACCTGACCAAGGMGACTGATGCCATTTTGCACCGCTCATGCAGATGAGGCAGTTAATGCAGAAYTGGCAACAGGTGGTTATCTAGAAGGCAGTCAGCTAAATCACATCCAGATAAGGATGAGATAAAATGTTCACCTAAAGTGTGAAAAAAAAGCTCTGAGGGAAAGGTATTGCCTAAGGTAAGTGAATAAAGCCTTCARCAAATACTTGTGGATTAAGAAAAAMCCCCACAGCCTGTTTKCATCYSACAGCYAAATCCTGCAGMCATTCACTATCCCTTTGGSTGGATGCACCTCAGAGAGCAGTCATTCTTACTCAGAGCAAAGTGACCCACGTCAGCATGGCTGATTCCAGGAGTTTCAGGCAAACTTGAATTCCCTGACACATTCCCTCTGTTGCTGTCCACATTTACAGGTACTGCTTTGTTTTGGAAGAGGGAAGGGTCCTGGCACCTTTCTCGATAACCGTGACCCCCTGTGATGTTCCCATTGAATGGAGCATACTCCTGTACAAGTCTCCTCCAGGTTTCCCAGGGAAAGCAACACCAGGTAAGGCTTCAGTGTGCCTGAGCAGAGGCAAAGAAAGCATAAATTACTCATAGCTACTCAGTGTTATAGGGAATTTCCCACAAGCCTAAACATCCCATGGCTCCCTCTCCTGTGAACTGCTATGGACTGACCCTGTCTCTATGGGTGAAGCTTGGGAGCCCATCAGATCTTGCCCTCAACTCAAAAAAAGTAAGGATTAGATATGGAAACARGTCTACATCTACTATTTAGGAACAACTGTTGGTCTTTCAAGCTGCACAAACAAATCAACTTCATAAACTCTCGGTATTGGGTGAAACTTCCCTCTGCTGCTGCAGTTTTTCTGTGGCTTAGGTCACTGGAGAAAACCATTTGCTCCCCACATGAAGCAGAGAAAAATTAGCTATTTATTCTTGCTACATCTGCCACTATCTTTACCTTAAAAGTCAATTCCTTTCTCTTGCATGKTTTTTTRAAYTAAGTTTTCAAACTRAAAATCTAAAAGCWGCARTARCAAGTTCTTACCTGTCAAGCAGCTACACCTGACTGAGGAGTTCAGCTTATCCTCCTTTGAATTGATAAGATTTCCCTCTTCATGAAGGAATGACCTAAAACTAATCCAAAAGAAAAAAACCTATCCTAGAAATGATGAGTCTCCTTAAAGTAAAGTACCCAAAGAGACAGCAAATAGAAGAAGAAAATTGTAGGGGCATCAGACATGATATAAGCCAAGATTTTGCAAGTTGTGGTTCCATAATTATAGTATTTTTGAAAACGTAATTCTACAGCTGCACTGCTAAAATAAAAGCTTCTCAAATTTTATTTTAATAAATTGCCAGTAGCAACCTATTTTTACTAAAGCATATTTTTAGTTATAATAGCTGTTTTCAATAAGAAAATACAGTGTTCCCCAACATACGAATAACTTGTGTGATGTGCCTTTTTTCASATTTTTTAAAACAGRCTTTTACAGATCTGCTTTTTGCCTGCAGGTGGCCACAGTACACAAGAGGTCTCCAAATCTCCGCAGGCTCCAAGCATGGTGTCCACCATTTTCAAGTACAAGGGAAATTCTGTCGAGACTTACATGGGGATGTCTTCCCATTCTGCYCTTTACCTGCTGGAGTTCCTCTCCACTGAGCGAGACACGCACATCACCGTGTACCTAACAACTGACACCATCTCTGGGCACCTCTACCCCGAGCTTCCCATGGACCCACGCATCGAYGTGATCGGCATCGGCCACACCACAGCCACTCTGAGCTGGAAACACAGCCCTTCTGTCCTGCAGCACGCAGAAAGCATCCAGTACTGCCTGCTAGTKAATGAAAAGCACAACTATAAGAGCTTATGTGCTGCTGAGACAGCCATCAGATCCTCTGGGATGAAAATGCCACCCACCTTAGCTCTGTCCCTCTCTCCATACCTGCTCGAGCCRCAGCAGGTGATGATACTGTCCAACAGCGAGCTGAGCATCATCAACAAAGCGAGCCATGGGGAGGTCAGGCAGGTGTGTGTGGGTACCAGGAACACCTACACAGTGCCCCACCTCAGCCCCAGCACTCAGTACTACTTTGATGTTTTTATTGTCAATCTCCTTACAAATGCCAGCGCCGCATACACCGGGACATTCGCCAGGACCCTGGAAGAACCTGAACCCAAGGTGACAGAGCTGAAAGATGGCAAAGTCATTCACGTGGTCCTGGATGGGAAAAAGCAGAAGTTCTACAGTCTGCAGTACCAGGCCAGGCACAARAAAATCCACTTCACCTTTCAGCTGTGTCGGGGCCAGATAAGGGTTCACATAACGAGGAAGGGCAAAACAGTGGCATCGGAAAATCTCTCTGGGCTGAGGTATTTATCCCTGAAGGGAAAGCTGCTGGACACATATTTGGTACAGCTGAGGTCCACAGAGGAATCCATCTCTTCTGTCAAGGTACAGGCATCCCCCCATTTCCACAAGCCCTTATTTCCACTCCTTCCAGAGAGCTTAAAAATCAAATCCTTCAGTAAACTGAGAACGTGCAGATCTGTGACCATTGCCTGGCTGGGAACACAGGAGGACAGCAAGTACTGCGTGTACAGGAAAAGGATTGAAGAGGATCAGATCTGGAGGGAAYTGCAGAATGCAGACAGGTGCTCTGGGCCTGAATCTCGGCACAAATCGGAGAAAGTGCTCTGCAAGTACTTCYATGATCTAAACCTCCAGCGAGCTGTCACCACAGAGACCATCAAAGGGCTGGAGGCAGGGACATTCTACTTGTTTGATGTTTATCTCTTTGGGCCATCTGGCATCCCTGTCAGATATCACAGCAAAGTTGTGAAGACCAGAAAAAAGTGTTGAAGGTTTTAAAGGRAAGTTTTGAAGTGAGTGAATGAAGGTTAATTTTAAAATCTACACCAATCCAAGTCATAGCCCCTGAACTGTGCTGACACATAAAAAGTTCGAAGCCATAAGATTCTACAGCAAAAAAACATCTTAGATGATTACATRATTACATCTTCTCTCCTGTGTAAGGTGGGGTGCTTTTTTTCCTGTCTCATCCAAACATTAAAACAGAGCTGTGAAACAAACTCATATACATGGAGTACCCATGAGAAATAGATTGATTACATAAAATGCTTCTGAAATCCAGCACAGAAGAAATGGGAAATGCCTCACAAGAAGCACACATCATTTCTCAAGTACCAGAGAGTTTTCCGCTTTCTTCAACTTATGCAGAAAGTGAGGAACTGAGAGACCCCACAAATCATACTGCTCCTGAGAAACAGATGCCTCACTGCTTCAAGAGGAATCAGAGGAGACAAAAAAATTTAAGAAGCAGTGGAACTGATGTAAAGCTCCAAACCTTGAGTAAAGCAGGCTGAACTACATCTTTGCCTGTTACCCACACGCTTGCTTGGTTTCATTCCTACAGAGAAACTGTGCTTGGTTAGAAACAGACAAAATTCAGGCCAGGAACTGGCTCTGGATCTGGCTTTTCTAGGGAGTGTACAAATACACTGCTGTACTACTGCCCATGAAGGGAGGCAGTAATTGAGGAGCCTTGCCGTGAAAAGATTTATCATCTACAAGCCATGTCTATGACTGTGTGACTCCTGACTGTAACATATTCATTCTTCACATCCTTAAGCCAGCTGATATCAATGAATGCATTGCTTTGAGAAAAATTAAATGTGGTTTTCCTATTAAATATCATGGAGGGAAAGTGTTTGTAGTAAAAGTTCTGACAAACACATTTTGGTTGTCTTGTTTTCTTTATTACCTTCCTTAGATGATGAGGCTGTGGGGGAAAAAAAAMCCCAACAACCTAAACTCTTCATAAACTCCCTTAGGTTCAATTTCAATTATTAGTAGAAAATATTTTGCACATAGGCTCTTGGCAGGCCAGGAATCTACCTCTGAAGAGATACAACAGCTTCAGTAACCCAGAGGCTGCCGGAGAAATCTTGCCTGCAGTAATTCTTTTTCCTCTACAATTACACTAAACAAACACATAAACGATTAAATCCATTATTGTGTATTTCAGGCATTCTCTTGCAATTCAGGGTCACCAAGGCTGCAGTTTACTCTGAGTAATTATCACATCCAAGCACGTTTAAGGCCCTKGGTAAGGACTGAAGCAGTGCTGTGTGAAGGCAGAGGGTTCACTTTCCTGCCCCACAGATCTGTGTTCAGGAAACACTGACTGCTCAGCCCCARGTGAGGGGCTCAGGCCTTCCCAGGGGATCAGCTGCAATATCTGGGCTTGGCTGGGTTCTGGACTGAGCAGTGCCACGTGCTCTGCAGCCTCCTGTCCACGCTTCAAGGGCCTTTTGGCTAATTACAGGGGCTGGCAGCTGCTCTGCCTTCRTTCCAAGGCAGGCCCTCGCTTCATTTGCCTCCTGCCAAAAATAGTCTGAGCTCCGAGAGCAACAGAGGTCATCTCCACTTGGAAATCTCAGTGTTTTCTGCTTTCCTCCTCAATTTCAGGCATTTATATTCTGGATGAATTTCACTTAGATGCCCTACAACTGCAATCACAACCATAATTATAATAGAGGAAGAATGGGAAGATGTGATTCACTGCAGATACAATATATTCTTAACCCCCTGCCCTCAGTCTGTCAGAGTATTAACCCTTGCTTTTGCCCTCTCTACACAAATGCCACAAAAATGTCCCTTGGAAGAAGATACACTGGCACCTTGACCAACACCAGCATTTTTACTGAAGCAGGTTTTTTACAACAGGACCAGGTTTGGGCTTCTCAGCAATAACTTGGTGATCAAAAGGTCTGAGGAAGGGATAGAAGGAGAGCCTGCAAGAGGGCACAGAGTTGAGCAGTCAAAGGTGGCACAGAAGCAAAGGCTTAGTGTGGCACCAAACTGACTGACAGTAAAAATCTGGGGGGAAGGACTCGAGGTTTGGAGGAAAGCAGCTGTTTCAGGGAGACTTTGAAAAGAGCTAGGAGATTCTCCTCCTCGCAGATTTAGGTTCATCCTCCTCTCCCTGGCCAGTGCCACATGCAGAGGACTGGCTRTGGCAGAAGCCCTGAACACACCTCACTGATGGTGCAGCCCAGGCTGGGAGCCTGGCAGGGCAGTGCCCACTGGGCTGCTGGCAAGGCTGGTGCCAGTATCCCCTGACAGGAGGAGCCGTGTCCCACACATAGCAGGCCCTCCATCAGCCATCCCCTGCCCACWGCAGAGAGCTCAGCTGCAGACAGGAGCCTGCTGCTCTGCCCAAAGCCATCACCTCTCATTGGAGCAGGGCAGGTAYCTGCCCTCCAGGCAGCAGCCCGCTCTGCTCACGTGTGCAGCCAGCCGTGCTCTGTACCAGACCCCAGGAGCAGGGSAATATTCCTCTCCACTGATCCTTCCACTGCCATTCTGCCTGCGTGCACCAGGCTGCTAACCTGCATTCAGTTCACTCAAGCCCACACGCTGAGGTGGCCTCCAGGTGGACTGGTTTAAACTGGGCACTGCTTTGATGTCCTGGAAGTTTCAGAGGTTTATCCACRGCAAAACCAAAGGTGCTGCACTACACCCTTGGTGCTCTTCCCCTACACAGGCAGCTATTTAATGCACAGATTCCCACATTCAGCATTTACAAGCCCTTTTCTTTCAAAGCTCTTTGGTATCTTTCCTTTTCCCCTCCTTCCTGTTTCACTCATCCTGGCCCCACTGTAGTCTGACCATAAACATTTCCTAAGCCACCTCCTTTTTTGTCTTCATGCTTTCTGCAGTCCTTCCTGCTCAGTTTTTTGGAGAGGCTCAATGCCTTCAGCCTGTCCTGAGCTGTCATCAGCTCTTCCCATCTGCTTCCCATGCCTGCTGAATCAGAGTCTCATCGCAAGTGTAGACAGATCTCTTCATGGAGAACATTTCAAGAGCAATGTTTTGCTCTTGTGGAGCATTTAAAATCAGTCATCAGCATCATTACCAGGCCAAAGCATTTTTTTCTGGCGTTCAGTAGCAGGTCCCAGATTTTTCATGTACTTCCAGCTAACATCTTTCAAGTCCTGTCACAGCTGAGAGCAAAGGCCATGCCTCTCCTCCCAGCTTTTTYACAGAATGGCTCACACTGCTATGACAGCCCCTTCACAGGGCAAGTCAGGGTACCAAAAGCAGAGCAGGCAAATGAGAGAAAACAGGTTTCATTCCACATCCACTTTCCCCATGGGCTCAGTCTCACAAATCAAAACTTGAATTGGCAAAATGAGGTGCTGGTGTGAAATAATAGAGCATGAGCCTCAGTGTGCCATTGTTTATGGCTATTAGCCCCAACCAGAACAGTGAGGGGCTCTTCAGCATCAGCTTCCAGTGTTTTGTACTTCTATTGATAAAAACTTTGAAGTGTGACGCAAGGGAATAACAATTGCTTGTTTAATTTATTCCTTTGAAAGATACGACTGCCTAAAAGCAGTGCAGAGGTTTCAGACATTGGGTGCATGGACTAATGGGATTTATGAGTAAATACTTAACAGACARTAAAAATCTATTTTGTTATTCCTTTTGTCTCCTGTATTTAACAGTCCACTTATTCATTCCCTATTACTTTGGGTTTSCTAATAAATTTAAATACGCTTCCAAGTGGACATGGTAGTTGAACAAATTGGTCCCTATCTACGCGTATTCAGGGATACATACACAACTTTGAGAAAGAAATAAACTGCTCAATTTCATATTTGTTGTTTTGTTTTTTGTTTTTTTTTTCCTGGCTGCTGTCTCACTTGCAAGACTCCGTTCTAGCTTAAACAGTATGTTAASATGCTCTTCCTAAGGTGCTGAGGTGAAATCCTGCTCTTTGTTTGCTTTTAAAGACACACTGCTCARGTGTTGGTTTACTTGTATCCACATCACCCCCATTTTGGGCTTCCTTACTATTCCCCATTGGATTTTGTGGGTTAAAAGTTTATGAGCCACGGACACTGCAGTCAAACATCCTGGCCACATGCAGCTTTGCACAAGGCATAAAATCAAATATTGAAAATCAAATAGTATTAGCACTGACAGCAAGTACACACCACTGACCCCAAAATGCCAAAGGCTTTCAGGTGCTGTTAGAGCAGCTGAAGCTCTCTGGCATTTCGAGAAAAAAAAAGGATGGCTTGGCAGCTGGTTAGTCTTTCAGCAACATAACCAACCCGGGCAAAACAAAATAGATGGGGTGTTTGGGAGAAGGAGGGGAACAAACGATGCATGACTGCTCATCAGTGTTACCTCTTTGCACACGCAGCACAGAGAAATCAGCAGTGCAACAAAGCAGACGAGCCAATTGCTTCTCTTGCTCAACAACGGGGATTTCCTGGACAAGTCTGTCAAGGAATATTAAACAACATCATCGTAAAAAGTAGATCAATTTACTAGAAGAGGCAAGCAATGAGTGCACAGAAAAGCGATAGAAGTCAAGGATGAGCTCGGAGGATCCTGGGCTGAGCAGGATCCAGCATGCCGAGCAGCATCCCCGGCTGCCAGCAGAGCATCCCCGGCTGCCAGCAGCCCTGCGAACACGAGAGGGCACTGTCAGGCTGGAGGAGAAGCGCAAAGAGTGCTTGATAAGGCTTATCAGGAGAAAGTATTTCCGCAAACTGAACGAGTCAAGCATCTTTCTGATAGCATTATCAGGCAGAACAGATAGAAGAAAAATCCAAAGATCTTACGTTTTATTTTTAGTCTTGCAAGTCTTCCAAGTTTGAAAGGTTTTTTGTTAAAATTAAAGTGTGTAAAACCTGACAGCTAAGAAACAGTAAGAGATAGGCACTTGACTGAAACACCAGTGTTCCCACTGCCTGTGAGATGTTCAATCAAACACCGATGGGGATAAAGCTCCTATAAAACAGAAATACTCTGGTACTGAGGACAGTCACAGGTTTCATAAGGTTTAGGAGTGGTCTTATTTCAGGCACAAGCTGCTCAGCAAGTTCTGATCCAAGGAATACTGTGACAACTCCATCTCTTCTCCTGTAGCATCCTTATGCTGAGGGA